TAGTAAGAGGACCAATCAAAAGTATAACAGAAGATCCATCAAAAGAATTGGGGACTCATCAAAAGTATAAAAGAGGACCCATAAAAGTTAAGACAGCCTTATCTTTTGAACTTCTTGTACTTACATAGCCCTTAAAGGAACATACAGATTTTTGTTGCGTAAAAAAATACTGTTCAAATGTCCTGTCTTACTGTTTGGCTGCATTCGTTGCACTGGAAACCGTCTTGCACAGTCATGTTGTAAATGGTGGAGGTGCAGTTCTGCAACAAACAACAAAAGCAATCCGTCAATATCCAATTATTCAATTTTTGGTCATATTTACCTGGGCAAGATGGTGCAAGATAAACAGAGAAAGTACTGGGCATTTATTAGGAATGGCCAGTGCAACTCTTTTCTCAACAAAACCGTGGCACAACATGAAAAACATTGTGAAATCTTAAAACATCCTGGACAAAGATGACCTCAGGTTTCACAACTGCTCAAAGATAATATTTTGTTTCATGGCAACCTCTGACGATGTTGGTTCAAAGAGTATCTATAAGGAACACGGTAACTGACACCATCATTGTCATTCAAAGGCACTGATTCGCTGAACATTATTACCTCCTCAATGGACTCATAACATCTGATGAACATACCTAGAACCACCTCAGCTCTCTGGGGAGCGTACAGCTCTAGGCTGCCTTTTGGGTACAAACAACTAAAACACAGTAACTTTATCTGGCCCCACAGGTGCCAATTTTCACTCCTGGGGGAGAGAGGCACGTTGGGGAAGAGCGACTAGCATAGCTCCAAAACACGTAACTAGCCAGTGGATTGGAACCTCCAGGCTATGATAGGAACTACAAAGCCCATAAACCGCTGGCGCCACGTGACCGTCCACAATTCATGACCCTACCTGACAGCTGAAGATGCCGTAGACCTTGTTGAAGATGGTCGGGGAGAACATGCCGGCGATGGAGATGAAGAGCAGGGTGGAGCTGACAGAGGCCGTCTTCATGTTGAATCGCTGGACGCTGTGCTTGATACCGCCAACTACCATGCTGATGCCCTGGAGAAAACAAAAAGAGAGACATTCTGAAATGCCAGGGTCAGATTAAGCAAATTTTTTTATGGGGGGGTTCAGGCCCATCAGATCGTTTTATATCTGATTGCGGTGGACGGGCGGACACATGGTTGAGGCATTAAATTGTTACTACGTACAGATAAATACCTTTTTAACCCTATACCACCTCCCCAAAAATTTTTCTGACAAATAATGAAAGGCAAATATTTTGGACTGTTTCAATACCCTTCATTTATGAAGCGTGTACAAAGCCCCTAAATGAAGCCTCAACACTCAGAAAGGCCACAAAGGTTACATAAAAATTGTCAAATATGTAAGCCCCCAAAACAAGTTGGCTCCTCCCCCCAATTTAGTTCTGGATCCATCCTTGGAGACAGGTTCTTACAGGAATGAACAGCATTGTCACCAATAGCGTGCCCACGAGCGCCGACTTCACCAGGGTGTTGTAGCAGGTGGATGCCGTCCTGGGGTCTTTCATCTTGACCAGCATGGACACGTACAGGATCAGCTCGACGATGGAACCAAATGTGGCATTCAGAACAGCCCCGACTGCATTGGTGCTCTGTGCTGAGATACTAGGAATAAACCAGGAGACAGTATAAAAATTTTCATGTTGATTTTATCATAGATTTCTCACAAACTTTCCCAGACAAAGGTGTGACAATTTCCAGAACACTGAATGCCATTTTGCAGAGAAAAAGTTCTTGACATTTTGAACCAAAAGACTGCCAAAGCCACTACTATAAACGAACAAGAAAAGCCTGTACAATTATCATCTTTCTGTTATCACATAAAAACCAGTCCGTCGAAAATTACCTTTGCTTTTCTTCTGACAACAGGATTCCAGGACACCCCATTTTGCCCAAACTTCCAAGACTTTTCCACGACTTTGCGGGACAACTTTTTTCCTAAAATTTTCCATCACCATGGGAACCCTGTCATTAACATCCAATGGTCAGCAGCATTTGGCCTTTTAACTATGGGGGCCAATCATCATTGGGTTGCAAAGTATAAATATTTGCCTAGGAAGAGGGACCAACTTTCTGCTGACCAAAAACTTGCTTACACCAACAACCTTGGAACCAACTTCATGCCCCAAACCCAAAGACCACCGAAAGCAGGATTTTTACAATGAGATTTTGGTAGATTTTGTGCCTGATGTAAGTACATATAATCTTTGGTTTAGCAAAATCCTAGACTTTAAACAAGTGTTTAAAATTTTGACTTAATTAGTGACACCATTTTGTAATTATTGTTACTTGTTTTTCCTTTTAAAAAAAATGGGCAATGCCTTATTTGTCATTTGAAGTTCCCACAAAAGCACACCGACTGCTGGTGTTAAATACGATCTTGTTTAGCCACTCTTCTATCGAAATGGAACTGGTTCCTCACCTTGTTATCCCCATTCCAATGTAGTAAGCAAGCGGGATGATAGCTACCAGACCCATCACAAATTTCTGAAAAGTTGAAGTGAAAAACGGAAAAGAAAGTAGTATGTTTTCTGTTTTTGACAAAAGCAAAGAAAATGTTGATTTTTCTTAAGATGCCCTTAGGTATTGTAGTCACATGGCTTACACAAACTCAAAGGGAGCTTTTTATCACAAAGCGAGAATCTCACTTCAGTGGCGTACCATTTCCGTGCGCTTCTTTGCAGGTGTCTGCAGTTCCAGCAGGTCAATTCTGAACAGTGACCCATGCTTCTTTTGCTCTTTGCACGCTGCCACCATAAACATGCAGAGCCTCCAACTGGCAGCTTGTACAATCGCGTCAGAATCGTGTCAATGCAGCTTTATGAAAGATTGTCCGATCGTGTGGTATAAAAATTAACGCAGCATGTGCAAAACTACATAAGCAACACGCACGGGAATCACTGATCCGGCTGTATTCATTTTGTCAAGTTGCCAGATCGAGGCTCTGCATGCCTACAGTGGTAGCATGCAAAGAGCCAATTATACACAATTTTGCAGCCACTGACTTCTTTTTTCATGCAGTGCTACAGGTAAGCTATTCCGTTACAATAAATAATTGGACCATTTCTTTTTTGGTAATTGTGTTTCAGTTTGCATAAAAAAGAATGATCCAAGCTCTTTGTTTTGATGTATCACTCATTTTGGTTGCCTGATGAAAAACGGACATTGTCAGGGTAAAATAAAGTTGACGATTCCTACTGATTTCCACGACGGAACATTCTTTCTGAGGCCTGCAACTTTGAAAGTGGCTCTGGCAAAGTGTCACTCATTTCCACAGAGCTGGCCACAAATACAACTTTTTTGTCTCGCTTGTCAAGGATTATAGCCTGAGCGGAAAGACAGTTGAAAATTAATGTATAATATTGAGGCACAACAGCAGTGGAACAATTTTCAAAGATGGGGAGGGGGCCAGTTCTGAGACCATCGGGCATCAGCTATGAACAGGCTAATCCATTGAGCCCCATTCCATTGTAGGACTTGCACAAAGTGGCGGGTCATGTCCCCTGGTTGAAACAATGGGGGGCCACTGGCTACCCTGGTTCCCCGCTTCCACCGCTAGTGTTCAGGCAGGTTACAGGTGAAGGGTGCCAAGAATGTTCAGATGTCAACTCGTCCTCTCTCTTTACGGTTGGCCGGAAAATGGTACTTGTATTTGGAGCTGATAGCCATTTCAAAATTGCGTTTAACCACTTCATGTCGGGGCGCCCAATGCCGGAGACCTTAGGTTTGTACACATAGCTGGGTTGCCTAAAATTTAGATAAAGGAGGTGGGCCATGTACCAAAGACCGTACTCCGAACAAAAAACCGGGCTGCTGGGAATTGCCAACATTTTGTCAGTTGTCAATAGCGGAGGCAATCCTTCATTGTTTTGAAACAGTATACCACTATTTATGGCAGGCATTGTGAGCGTATAACGACCGGGGACAAAAGCGCTCCAGCACTGAGTGATACAATACTGCTGCACACTAATCTGGCCGTATTTGAAAAGACGTCAGCAGTGCGCTGGGCCAGTTTCGGGAACAAAAGAAAATTATGCAACACTGCACATCTGGCCTCTCTTTACAAGGCCGCAGGCCTGGCTGAAACACTCGGGCGTCAATAGATGTTGCCTGTCGGATTAGAGTACCCACCAGACAGTCATTTGTGTGGGTGTAAACATCCAGTCAATGAAGTTATAAATTTTTGAAGAATTCTGAAAATGGAAGATCTTGAAAATCCCGCGAAACTCGTCATGCAACTCCAATTTAGACCCAGAAGCATGTGTTTAACACCATAGAAGCCAAGCAAAGCTGGATTTAGGGTCTATTAGCATAAAAAGCATGTTGAAAAGTAAGGCTGGGATGTTTACACGTTTAATTGAAAACCGTTCCAAATCCGTTTTTAGATTTTCCCAAACGTTTAAATGGAACAGCCCCTTTTAGAGGTTTGACATTTAGATCGACACCGTCTGGTGTTCATTTTTATTGTTAACGATGCCTGTAAAATGTAATCTGATTTTCAGAACACCTTACTGCTCGGTCATATCAAAGAAACACCATGAATTCATCAAAGGAACTTTGTGTCAGCTATTTACATTGTGTGCAATTGGTTTTCAATGACACCGTTGTGAGGGTGGGACATTCACATGTTTGTATAGGAAAGTTTTCGAAACGTTTCTCAAATTAAACATAAATCTTGAAAAGTGCCAAAGTCTGATCCTGAATTCATGCCTCTCTTGTTGGATTTGATTCACAGATGCAAGGAATTGCTTTCTCACTTCGAGTAAATTGCAAAGTTATCCAGCCAGGCAATAACAGGGTTTTTCAGCTCGGAAGCCATTCTCACCCGACCGCCGCCAGTACTAGGTCAACAGGTTACCGCGGTACTTACAACAATAGGATGGGCGACAACGTTGCTTGTGTCTGCATAGCCCAGAATGATGGTACACACTACAAACAGGAGCATGTCTGTGTAACACACTTGATAAGTATCAAATTCAGTGTGTTTGCTCATATGACATTTGACACGATAGTTGCCCAAATGGTGTAGTCTCTCCCCCAAATTTCCAGAAAGCCCCTCCCCTTCCAAAAAGGGTCAATTACACGTATTTACAAACAACTGCCAGCATTTTCCCTCAGATTTACAAAAGCATCCTACTGCTTCTGTCCTTGGTGGTCAATTTGTGGTTTTTTTTGGTCCAAAACCGTTCTCCGAAAGATTGTGTGCTACAGTCTTTCGGAGAGCTTGATATTACGAGAATAACGGAGAACAAAGTATTTTGTCAGTGGAGGTATAGTGTAATCCAGCAGCCAGAATTAGAAGTAAATACTGTGGTGGCACAATGCTCCTGGACAGGTGCACACCTTACAGGCCTCTTAGACCAATAGGGTGTTGTGACGTGCCAAAAGGCAATCGCACGTTTAAGACTGTACATGTGAGTGCAGCACTACCACAGTTACTTATGGTGTCTCCTCTGATCAGTCTATATTTCAAGACAATGTGTGCTGTTTACATGCTTGGACTAGTACATAGAAGATTCCTACTTCAATACGGGCGATTCACAATACAGTGCGCCCCCAAGGGTTTGCCATAGACAAGCCATTTTTTAAGTTAACAGTCGCATGCTGCCGCAATTGAGCGCATCTCATAGCTAATTTGGGGATATTTAATTGATTGAGGGATCCCCTGCACCATACACAACCATCACTTGACTTCCTAACACCCACTGACAACAAGCAATTTCAAATTTTCAACCAAGATAAACAAACATGCAGAAAAATTGAAGTTTCCGGTGCACAGCGCAGTTAGCGAATGAGACTGTGTCGACTATTTGTCCCATATTGCACTACACAAAGGCCTCTCCATGACAACCTCTTGGTGGTGCACTACATTGTGAATAGCCTGTATTGTCTTATAGGGTTCTGTAATAGTGACAATGTGCTAAGCACATGTCAATTTCTTCGGGTGGCACCCTCTGAATAAAATCAGTCTTCTGCCACTTCCCCATCCGTAAAGGATACTGAAGAGAATGATGTTCATTCCGTCCACCGTGTACTTGTAATAGTAGACGTTCACGGCTTGATAGGAACACATGACGACCTCTAGGGAATAGGTGCAGTCATCACTCTGCCAAGAAGGAGGAAAAATCTGTATCTTGCCCTCCTTACAAAAAATCGAAAGGCACTTTGTATTTTGTCAACGAGTCATAGCTTTTACCCCCCCCCAAAAAAAAGGGGGGAGGGCAGAATCTACCCCACTCTGACTTCTTCCGATGTAACCGATGCACCGAGCCCTAAGCAATTCTTTTCAGTTACATGTTGCTCTCATTTTGACACCAATTTGTGAAATTCAGGCATACCATCCTCGTACAGCGCCAAATTTTCAAGGACAGGTCAGCCACAAAATATACGCTTTTTCTATCGATGTGCTCAATGCATGCAGTGCCTTGAACAACAAATGACCACAGCAATTTGATTTGAAACTTCACAATTCTACGAAGAGTGTCTTCGCAACGTGCCAAGCTTTACCCCAAAAAGGGTCCATGGGGGAGCCAAGTTGTTGGGGATTTTTCCCTCCCCCAGCTGTGAGATGGTCCCCCCCAAAACCCAGCTCTCTAAAGGGTTAAGACAGAATTTCATAAGTTCATTTCAGCCCTTTATGCTAATCTTTACACGAGGAGGACTCGAACTCCATTTTCCAAACGGGCAACCAAATGAAATGGGAACAAGTGGCAGGCAAAACACTGCATCCAAGTCCTCATTAGATCTACTAGACACAGAAAAGTCCAGTTCTTGTTCACTCAACCCAAAAGGGAACAACAGTATGAATTTGTAACATCACAGAAAAGTTATTTGCCTTGTGAAATTTTCCAAAACTGAATGCACTGCAGATTTTGTTGTGACTGTTTTGTGATGTCGAAATCACAATAAAATTTGTATGAAAGTGACCCGGCCTTCATTCAGTACTTTCAAAATAGAAACCACTTAAAAATGGTTGAATTAGATCCAGGCTTCCTTTTGGCTTCAGTTTCATTTTTTTCTTGCCAATAATAGTTTTGACAGCACACAACCAAAAGCAGAAAACAGAAAGCACAAAAAGACTCACCTTGAAGTCGCTTGTCTTGTTTATTCTGAGTTTTTCCGGCGGTAAGAGAAGCACCTTTCTGACGGCGATGATATTCAACTGCAAGTGCCAAAAGTGCTTGAAAATTACTTCCAAAGGCTGCCACTGATGCCTCTAAAATTCCAAAACTTTTCCTGAAGATGCCAAATTTCAAGTACGCATATATGCATGCATGACAGAATGCAAGTTTACTGTGACAGTAAAGCAGCAGTTGGTATGCTGTCCACCCTAAGCGGGACCAAGAGAGGGCTCATTTTTCCTAGCAACAGTGGTTCCTTTGGTGGGGAACTGCACTTCACTAGTTCATAAGTGTACCACTTCATTAATGTAATGAATGTTACACCAGGAGACGTGCATGGAGACTCTTCCAAGTCCTTTTCGTTTGCCTCTGTTTATGACAATCTTGTGGCGGAAATAAGGCTTTAACATGAGATGTTAAGTAGGCCATGTCTGAAAAGGGTATCCAGAGCTGCGGCTACGGCTACTGTCAGCATGTTTCAGAATAGGTCCAATGGAGCAGAGACCTAGACCTAGCCCTAGAAAACAGATGTTGATGTAGCCGTTGAGCTCTCCCCACTTAATGTGGCTCTTTTCCACCAGTGTGGGGTGCCGAGTCAAGGCAGATTGATGATGAGACAAGACAGACGGGCCCTATCAGCATGATGGCATGGGTATGCATGCAAATGTGCGCACAATGTCACCTCATGGGTGATTATTGCTTTTGCAGAATCTCTCCCCCCTCTTTCTCTCTGTTATCACCCATTTTACCTTTGAGATAGGGATGAAGACAACCATGAGACCAGTCGCCATGATGACGATGGCATGGGCTAGAAGCAGGATGGGGCATCCAAGGATCAACCACACATAGGTGGACGGTCTCCTCTGCAAACAAACACAAGTAACATTGATCAGGAAAAGAGCTTCTGATTGGCTGGGAATAAACTGGTACCCTGCACTATATGCTATCTAGAGTTGACAGGGTACCAGCTGCAGGGTGTCGTACGAGCAGTACTGACACATGTGACTGGTGCCAAGACATGTACATGCATGTACATCCATCTTGGGGTGATAACAGACTACCAGCCAAGTTTCAAATAATAAGAGGATTTTTAAGCAAAACCTCTGAGCCAGGGTCAGAACTGAGTCAATCAACAGTCCTTCTGAGTGTCCTTTCACAAGCCCTGTCACGATGGCAAGGACTACTTTTGCAACAGTCCCTTTGAATAGCTTGCAGTATGACTTGAGATTGGATTATTTGTAATAGACTTGTGACCCAACTTCCAAGGACTTGTGAGGACTTGTAATAGATTTGTAGGGACTTGTAATGGACTTCTGAGGACCTGTTATGGACAAGCATGGACTTGTGATGGACTTGACATTGAAACTGCTCTGAGCACCTCAAGGGATTTCTTCAATTTGCTAGCTGCACTCAAAGCTCTCCATAATCATTACTCCAGGCATGAAACTTGGACTTTCACAAAAAAATGAGGTAATTCCAATCGCTACAAGAGTTTGCACAGTGCTTTCAAATTTTCAATGGTGTGAGTGTGAAGTACAAACATGAAAAACAGGGAAATCAGCTCATCCGAGGAAAAGTTGCATGCCTGTTACTCCCTCTTCATGATCCCTGTCTCTTACCCAGTAGCCTGAGTCACTGCGGACTCCCTTATAGTGCATGTCAATGATGGACACACTGGTTGTGGCATCTGAGCTCTTGCTCTCCTACAGTCATGGCAACATGGGAGATGGAATGAGGACATGAAGTGTCAAAGTGATCAGCCACACAGGGACAACAGTGGCAAAAAATGATTTTGCATGGATGACAGAAAAATGACATATTTCCCCCGAGAGGAAATCTTCCCTCTGATGAAAAAGCAGGGCCTTGTTTGTTCAAAACCGATTTTTACCAGTGAAAACTGGCAAAATGAGAGGAGAAGTTATGTGTTCTGTACAGTTACATAGTTCAACAATAAACTGACAATTGCTTGAGTAGAGTCATCAACTACAGGTATTTGGGGCAAGTCTCCAGAGGTCTGTGGCATCGCCAAATAGGTTGAATTGTGAATTGCCACGGTAATCTATGACTGTACATGTACATGTGGGCTGACTGACAAACATTTTGCACTTAACAACTGGTGTGCAGGTTGGTATTTGAGTCAACTCAAAGCTAAACACTGCTCCTGGATCAACTCTGCTCTCAGCAGTCACTTTACCGAGAACAGCATGCATCGTTTCTTTTCAATTTTTTTTCAAAGTTGTGCAAAAACATTCCTATCAATGAAGTGAATGTTCATGTGTTCTAAAACACATGATAGTGGCAAGCATGACACAGTGAGGTCAACGTCAATGTAAATACAGCAGATCTAAGCTGAATCCGACCAAACTGGTTTTTTTTTTCACTTTAAAAATGGACTTGACAGGCAAGTGACTCCACTCCCTCTTGACATAGGCCTTCAAAATTAGGGCTGTGCCGAATATCTGAATATTGGATTGATTACCGAATACTCAAATATCATTTTCCGAGTTTGAATGCTCCAATGCAAAACTCATGAAAAGGAAGAGAAAATTACTTAATTTGTTTCAACTGAGGAAAATTGCACTATGGAGACTTGTTTCAAGCAGATTCAAATGAAAATTGACAGAAATCTTATGATTCAAAAAGTTAATTATTCATTAAAAGATTTACAAGGAATAGAAATTTTCAACGGGGTAAGAAGTATTGTTCATCTCTTCAATCCTGCTAAATCGTGGCTGGAGATACTCCTAGACATAAGAAGCTATTACAGTGGGTATAATGTACCCGGTATTATTGTGTGTGTTATTGCAACTGATTTTGGATATGGTTTGTTCATCAACAATCTGCCGCTCGGTACGACCAAATATTCAGATAATCGATCGAATTGACGGTTGAATATTCAAATAGTAAATTATTCAAATTGATTCAGCCCTATTCAAGATGTATATCCTTCAAAGTTTTCTTGAAAATGGATATGGTACATGTCAAAAACTGCTATGGATGTCTGCAGTATGCAAGTGTTTCCCACAACACATGATAATGCCATGCATGAACCTCTGATGTCTATGTATGTAAATAATGCAACCAAGAGATGAAATTACACATTGGCCAAACTGGTTCTTTCAAACCTGTGGTCAATAAGCCATTTGCGAGTTCAATTTGAATAAAATCTGGTGCACTGAGTTATCTTGACTGCACATAAACATAACGATTTGAATTCCCCAAGACACTATTGCTATACCTCGTAATTCGGGGCAAATTTTCGCATAGGGACCACCATCTCTGGAATGGACTGGTTCCTTTGTGCCCTTCTTATCCACTGAAAACAGTGTATTGTTGCAAGGCATCTCTTATGTAACTTAGCAAAAGCATGCCCCAAATCAAGAGGTATAGCATTATGGTTTTAGTGAGGAGAATTCAAGTTGTTTTGTTCACATGAATTTAAAGAACTCAGTGTACCAGATCTGGGTCAAAGTTAACTCGCAAAAGGCTTATTCAATGGAGCTGCCGAGCTCAAAAATTTTCAAGAGAATATTACTTAGCAGAAACAGGTTACTGGCCACAAAGTCACGGTGAGAATATTGCCAGTGACTGGTGCTAAGCCAAATTTTGCTCAGCATCACCAATTTGGTAATCAAGATTTTCAGCTGAATGGCTCTTTGGAATGGGGTCCAGGCCTTACCCAGCATTCGTTGCTTTCTTTCTTCACGTAGGCCGGCAGGGAATTTGATCCCGTCAGCGATGAGGCCGAGTCGTGGCTGGCACTAATGCCGTTGCTCAGGAGCGGTTCCTTCTCGTCGACTGGCTCTGAGATTTCCTCCAGCTCGTAGCAGGTCCTCTCCTTCACGAACTTGCCAAAGGGCCACAAAAAGTACTGAGACAGAGCCCAGCAGAACTTGGCTGGCAAGTGAGAAAGAAGCTTACTTTTCAGTCAAAAACAAAAATCAGATCCACAAGGAACAAAGAACTAAAAACAAGCTTTGCAGCTATTACTGTAAGTACATAATCCCTCTTCCAATAAATTTTGCTAAAAATCATTTCAAACATCTGATAATAAGAGAATGAACATGTGCTTTGGAGAATGGCAGCGACCAATTCCCAAGCCACATCAGCGTTCAGTCTCCTGAGCCGGTCTTAAATGGCCAAGCACATATTTGTTACCGTTCATAAAAATCTTTTTAGTCGGAGTCAAAAGAAGTCCCTATATAATGGATTTCCAACAATTTTGTTCTAGAATTTTACTTTCATCCATTTTATGGTATGTTCCATGTGCAAATTGTCCAAAAGAATCTCCTTATATGGACTTGGTGCACACATGGCAAGCTGCATGCACACAGACTCCTGACCAATCAGAATCAATTATCTTGCATCCAGGTGCCAGTGCGTATTTAAATGTTAATACACTGTCAAGTTGTACGTTGTTGAATAGGGAGACTGAACAAGGTATTTATAAATATCACTTTAAAGGTACCAGAGCATGTTGTCGTGTGCGCTTACGACCTTTTGCCGGGAAGAATAATCGCTGCAAAAAACAAGTTCCAGGCAAAAGGATGCATTTATGCAACTGTTTCATTTTAATGAAATATAAAGATTTATTTGCAAAAAGCTAAAAAAAATTTCCCAAGTCGTTTGATCAGTTGTTCAAAGCTTGCTTTATGCATAGCCTGTGTTGATTTGGTAGTAAATTTTATCCGTTTTTACTAAACAAAGAGAGTGTGTTTCTTACGTCCTTTTACCAGGAACATTTTTTCTACTCAGATCGTGCTTCCGGGCAAAAGGGCGTAAGCGCGCTTACAACGTTTTGCCGGGCACACAACGATGTAATGATTAAGTGACATGTTTATTTTGATAACAAAATACCTGATACTGCTCAACAATACAATGGCGGAGATTTTTACTGGAAACTTTCCTGAACCCTTGAGAATCCTCCACTTAGCCGGAAATCACCGGCACATGCCATTCCGTAACTTTCAATGGGAATCAAAGCCCACAGTGGCTGGGCTCAACCATCTTCACTCCTCCAAAACCCTTCAAAAGCTCTCAGAATACTTTGAAGGGTGTGGAAGGGTTAGGGTTGAAGAAAAGCAGTACCCTTAAGAGTTCAGTTGGAGTATTCGTTTATCAGTGCTGCAGTCTAGACCCAAACAGACCCAGGTGCACGACCAGACAAAACACTAGTCTCAAGACCAGTCACAACTAACACAGTAAACAGTGACAAAAGAATACAATGTACTTTTGTTGCAGTTTATGGGGAGACTTTGAGATGCCTGGTGAATGCAAACATGTGACCAGTACACTACTGTTTGTATCACCCTTGACCTAATAGCACATGCTTAAAATGACGCAAACAACAGTGACTGATCAAGTGGGACTGGTATATTTGTCCCCACCAGGTGTCTCAGAAGTCTCACACTGAATTGGTTGTGACTGGAATTCAGACTGGAAGTCCAATGGTGGTTCAAGGGATCCTGTCTCTCGCACTGTAATGAACATGCTGATGCCATGTTTGCCACAATTATCATACCATGATGTCTTCCTATGATGGTGATAAGCATCAAGAGAGCTACTAGGAGGTAGACCAGGGCCAGCCACCATCCGATCAGGAGGGCATAGAGGACGTTGCCCACAGATAGCGTGGAGTCTGCAAGAGGAGGTGGCAAAAACGGGTATAAATGTCATAGGGATATACCGGTACATTACACAGGATATGTCCTCTAAAGGACGCACAGAGGACGCTCCCTACAGACAGTGTGAAGTCTGGAAGAAGAGTGGCAAAATGGGTTTAAATGTCATAGGGATATACTGCTACACTACACAGGATATGTCCTCTAAAAAACGTATGGTGGACATTGTCCATATACGTACACGGTTGTACATGTACATGTAGTGTGGAATCTAGGGGATGGCTAAAATGAGACATGGTACCCAGTACAAATATCGTGATGACATAAACAGGATAAAGCAGGCACAGAGGACATAGCAGCTAGTTATGCAAGGGGTGATGAAATAAGTACAAACAACACAAGGAAAAACAAATACAAAGGAAGTGTTCTTTAAAGAGCACAATTTTAATTCTGTTTGTCTTATCTGCTGTTCAAAATCGGGCCAACAGTTGGAACTTGAACAATTGCACACACAGTTGACTTTCACCGTATACTGTACAAAATCCACACAGCGACTTATTCACAAAAACCACCTTGGCTCTTAAGTCGTAACTGACACCCCAATACCTTATTCCCCGGCCATTTCATGGAGCTTTTCTTCTTTGGGCTGGTATTTCAATTTTCTAACCCTTCTCACTCCCCCCCACTTGCCCCACCACCCCATACATGTAGTAGGGTGTGTCACCTCAACTGACAGACTCAAATGTTAAATATTAAAACTTCTACCACAACTTTTTCTCCAATGCACAAACTGAAACACTTTTTTCAAGGGAGGTCAGAGGTTATTTAATTAACAGGAGATACAGGTACATGTAGTCCCTATTGGCAAATCATGTTGGACTTTATACGTGTACGTTGACCTGCTTATCAGAAAGGCCACAGTGATATGTTAGTTTCCAGGCACATGCACAGAAAAACATACAGACCTTCTCTTTGCTACATGTACATCATTACCCACCACAGGTTAGTGGCTGGCAACCATGGCAAGACAAAGGGATAACTCAAGGAAATCGAAACACATTGTGGACTTTGGTGTGTTATTAAAAATGCTGTGAAAGCAAAAAGAAGCTACCAAAATGAGATCCCAGCCCTTTCCATACAATGAGCAAAAAAATCATGACATCTTTTCGCCACCAATAGTGGCAACTATTGCTGAGCCGAATGTCCGAATATTCAATCGACTATTGAATGTTTGAATATTATTTTTCTAATTTGAATATTCGAATGCAAAATTCACGGAAAGGGAGAGTTTTCTTTTGCTTTAAATGAGAAAAATTGCACTATGGTGGCTTGTTCCAAGCAGATTCAAAAGAAAAGCGACAGAAACCTTCCAATGATTCAAAAAGTACATTATTCAATAAAAATTTTCAAAAGAATACACATTTTCAACAGGAAAAGAAGTAGTATTCGTCTCTTAAATCTTGCTAAAGTGTGGTTGGAGATACTCTTAGTGAGAAGCCATTACAGTGACTATAATGTACATGTACAATTGTGTGTTATTGCAATTGAGTTTGTATATGGGTCTGTCCACACTAACGGATACATTTGCACATAACCAAAATCATCTGTTGAGAGTCAAGAAATGAACTTTAACAATTTTACTGATATATTGTGGATGTAATAGTTTACACAGTTTAATAGGATTTGGTTGTTCATCGTTCAAATAATCAGGATCTTGATAAAAATGTCCAGCTTACATGTATATTAGGGGTTCTGGTAGGACATGCACATAACTGTGTCAGCTTATGTTTTTCAGGTAATCTAAAATACCACTCTTATCATGCTTATAGAGAAAAGCAATTCATCTGTTAATTTTTAACATGGGTGCTACAGGTATAACATTTGAGAAATATGTCAAAATCTATGGCTTTTAATTTCTTTAAGTTATCTTATACCCGAAGTTAAGGAGAGCTATTTAAGGAATAATGTGTGTCACGGTGTCTGTCCACAAAGTGACAAACATGAAACAGGCTGATTTTGCCATTTCTTGAGCAGATAACCTGAACAAAACCATATATTTTCTTGAGAAATGTTTTTACAATAAAACTTTAAATCAGATCATCCATGTCATATGTGGTTCTTTTTTCTATCAGATGACAAAACTGAGATTTGATTTTTGGAATTGCAAATGTCTGTCCACTATTTGTAAAATTTGTCACAACGATGTTTTCCCTCTAAATGTAAAAATCTTAGAAGACTTATCTTATGGGTACATATACATTTATTACAAAACCAAATGGAATACGTGTAAAATAACAAACAATTCATTAGAAAGAGTTGGTTCATTTTGCTGAAATGAAAAGACTGTCTGTCCCCAGGTTATGATATGTGACCAACGTTATGTCTGTGCATGTGACAAATGTAAATAATTTAGAAAAACGTACACAGTGTTCATTTTAGCTGAGGTTTAATAGTCTTTTTAACAAAAATGATTTTGAAAACTGAAAACAAACAAGCCTGGTTTGTGAACAATTCTGTTTTCATACTCTAATTCAAACACCAGAAAAATGTCTGTCCATGTGACATACGTTATATCTGTCCATGTGACAAACGTGATGTCTGTCCAGTGACAAACATTACATATTTTTCTTGAAATAAAGTCAGGGTTATCTACACTGGAATTGTTTTTATGAGATAATGACAGTTTCTAAAAGTAAACTAAAAAGAGTATTCAATACATTTTCACATTTAAGGAACAAAGTGTCTGTCCATGTATGTTATATCTTCAAGAATAAATATCTGTAATTTCTTAATACTACTCAATTTATCTTTACCTTTCTGTGGCAACAATCAGAAACAATGAAGGTGTAGGCCAAAAACAATGGCAAAATTTAATAGTTGGAAAGTTGTATTGAATGTCACGAAAATGTATCTGTTAGTGTGGACCGACCATTCGGATATTCGATCGAATTGAAGGTGGAATATTCAAATAGTGAATTATTCAAATTGACTCAGCTTTACTGACAACCTTTACAAAACTGCTATCAATAAAGGGAAGAAATGTCCATACTCTTCCATGTAATCAGTTAAGTACAAAGATCTCGCCAGAGTGCAATGTCAGGTATACATTTGGCTGGGCATTCCTTCTATTGTGTAACTAAAAGTAAGTTTTACTTCCTGGTATCGAAAGCAACTGTAAAAAATTGACCTTTCTTTTTCCCTTCAGTACAATTCTAAACCAGAAATAAAAATGACAAAATTAATGAAAGTTACCCAAGGTTGGAATTGGACTGAACTTCTACACTGCTCTCTTGAGGCAATAACAAAGTACATTGGTTTGCTTTTTTGCTACGTGAGTTCTAATTCACTTGGAAATTTTCGTCATCACAGTTTCCCTTTCTGTTTGGAGTCTTCAGCGCCAGCCTGCTGTTCCTTACTCTGCCCAAGGTCAAAATCTTTGGGCTTTCAAAAGTTTGTATCTGCTCAAGAACGATCACAAATCTGGTTTGTGCATGTGCAGTTGTCTCCCAAGGAATTTCACACTTTAGAGGGCAGTGTGGAACCAAATTTGTGACCCGCTCTACAAAAAGGTGGATTAAGTCGTGCAATGCAAAACAAATAATGGCCCATTCCATGTGCCGAGGGTGAAAACACTTGGCAATGTTTTGAGGCCAATTACTTGATCAGAAAGTCTCTGTTGCTAAGGGAAACCAAGAGAGTGTCTAGTTTAAGCTTAATGTTTCTGTGCATTATGTTTAAAGGGCACTATCTCAAAAAAGCATGTGTGAGAAAATGAAATTATATGAATATGCAAATGGCAAATAACTCCAAAATGCAAAATGCCACTAGGATTAATTATTCAGCACATATCAAATGAAATCTTAGGATGAGCGCAATTCAATTATATATAAAACTCAAATTCCAAACAATGTGACATTTTTGCAGAACAGGTCACATACATGTATTGCATGCGACAAAGTGGATACATGTAATTAAAAACTGAGAATTACAGCTGAAACATTTTAACCTTCATAAAACAAAAGACTTGAGACTTTTAAAACTAGATCACTGTTAACAGACTTCAAAGTTTAAACAAAACTCTAGTGCGTGTGTAAAAGAAAGAATTATATCAAATTCGTAGCACACCAATTGATGTAGAAATGTCCTTATTTCGAACAAGCAGAATTGAACACTTTAGTGAGATTTGAAAGTTTTCAAACTTTGCAAAGACTTTCAATAATTTTCATTACTTCAATGAAAAGTAATGAGTTCATGATTGTGCACATTTCAGCTTTGGAAATAAAGACGATCAGAAATATCGACAGAGACACCAAAGTTTTTCCACAAAATAAAGAAAGTAACAGGCCTGACATATAATCTCAACACACCCAACAAAAACAAACTTTATTCTTGTGTATGGAATTCATTTGAAGCGTGTTACTACCCACTCCAGTCTAGACTTTGGCCGGCCTCCAACCAAAGGAGAGAAAAACCATTGACAAAAATTTGTTCTTATCTGAATTCCCATGCATCAACTACTTCATGTACTGTACTTTGTACTGACTCAAAAGTCCAAACAGCAAGCACACATATTTATTGCTGCATTGTCCTGGTTTTTCAAATTTAGTGAGCAATGATTAACCCTAACCCCCTGGGCCCTTTTTGCTAGGGACCCTCCAGAATCCTCCAATTTGGGGCTGATAAAATAGGATTCTTCCTCAATCCTCCAAAATTTCTTGTTACTTGGAGGTGTGCCTACTGCCTCAATCCTTCAAAATCCTCTGGCAATTCCTGTCATTATGTTGAGGCAGTGCGAATGGCACTCTTGAGCAGTGGGGTTGATTCAAAAGAAATATCGGGCTGAATTTATGCACGACTGAGCTGGAACAACACAAGGTCTAACCCACGACCTTCATTCATAGCATCCTTCACAATCAGCCATGCACTTTTGCCATTCACCCTCAATCCTCCAAAACTGCCAAAAGGATTTTGGAGGATTGAGGAGGGTTAGGGTTATAGAAAGTTTTTCCAACTAAAAAACACAGAAAAAGAAAGATTATACATCAAGCATGCATACATACACAAGAAATACAGACTTTTACCAGCACTTGAAATATAGAGTGCAGCAATAAATATATGCACATGCTTAAAGTATTTCATTTATCGAAGTTCTTTTTCAGTTTTTTAGTTGAAAAACCAGGACAATGCAGCAATAAATATGTGTACTTACTGTTTGGACTTGAAGTCAATACAAAAAGTATAAAAACTGAAAAAGAAAGATATACCTTAAGCATGTGCACTTGACTTTTAGTCTATTTGATTTACATACTTCAAAAAGTATATTACATATTCAAGAAAGATTTTTACCAGCACTTGAGTCTCACATGAACAATTTGCACATGTACATTGGATGGAATTTTAAAAAACTTTTTATTTTTTTATTTTATTTTTTTTATTTTATTATTTTTATTTTTCTAATATTATTAATTTTTGACCATGTCAAGGGTTGTGAACAAGACCTCAAGGTCCTTTTAAAATCCCTCCCCGGATAAAATGACTAACGGTTAACGAAAAAATAAGAAATGCCGTACATTTACTAAGAACTAAAAAGCTAAGAGCTAAAACTAAAAACTAAATCTCGATCAAGAATTAAACAGAAAATGTTTAAGGAACTCAACCAAAAGTCACTCGATCAAGTACATCGCAATTCAACCAAACAGAAGCAGAACATCCTGTGGAGAAAACCTGCCGGTGCATTAATTCACTGTTATACATTTTTACAAATTCATTTTTTGCACCGGACACACTCGATCTCCACTGTCTGGTTAACAGTGTCTAAAAATGACATGTATAGTTACCGTCACAAACCTCAGATACATGGTCAGTTGTAGCTGTGAGCAAATGAGCATTGCATTCCTTGTGTGCGTGTATACGCGCCGAGCGAAATCAGATTACATGGTCAGCCACCTTTGGCTGTCAATGCATTACAAAACTGACACGAAAGGTTTATTATTTCTAAGCCTAGCTTGGACTTTTGGGCAATTCATGTCCTTCTGGGATTATTTGCCTGACTTGGTGTTTAATACGCTCCTTTTGATTTCTGTTTCTCTAATTCATATCTCATTGGTTTATAGAATTTTTGTGTTGGTAAAAACGAAACAAATTTATGAAACTATGAAACTAAACCAGAACAACTTCAAAACAAGGCCAGTTACAGAGTGGAGGCAACAGGGCCCATTGCTGCCCCCCCCAAAAAAAACCCAAAATAATTTGGTCTTTTGAAAAATAATGAAAAATGCAATTTTGGGAGTCTCTTTCATTCCCAAACTTTCAAACTAGTGCAAGAAGAACCCAAGTAGAGCCTCAACCCTCAGACAGGCCATGAAAAATCAAAATTTAAATCAAAATCTCCAACATTTCCCCCCCCCACCAAAGAAACCTTTTTGGTCTCCTTCAAAAAATATCCAGGGTACTGCCTTCTTCAAGTCAGTTCTCCCTCTACATACAGGTATATGAGAAAACATGTGGGGCTACAACTTTGGACAGAGTTTCTGTCGAGCAAACTTCTAGAGAAGGTTCCCTAAATAATCAAACAAAATAAAATTTATGATAAATTAAATTTACCTAAATTTATCCTAAAAATTTGGCACCCAACATCAGACATCACATCTTCCTTGATTTTGTTTTTTATTTTTTTGGCCAACCAAAAATTTTGAAAGGAAACACTTACGTATGAAAGGCTTGACCTTTTTTGGCTGCTCGTAAAGCGTCTTGACAATCTCCGACCTCTCATCCAGGGGGCGCTTTGTGACGTGGCTCTTCCACTTCTTGAACCCAAACTGGATTGAACAAACCGATTTAACTTCATCAACCCAACCTTGACATTACATGCCTTCTGTCCATCATTATCAATTTCCATCGTGGTGGCACAAAACCTTGGCATCTTACTTTCCCCAAAAACCTGCATTGATTCACGTGGTATACTGGCATGTACAGTATCGTGATGTAAAGTTACAGCATAGATTCTGAATGAGTTGACTACAGTCGACTGTCGTTATAAAGAACACTGTTATCAAGAACAGATTTCTTGAATCCCAATTTCTTGGTTTTTCTTTGTTTTTCACCTCCTTTTATAGCAAAGTCCTGATTGTTACATAGCAATTTGTTTGATCCCTGCAACTTTGTTATAACCCTAACCGCTAAGCATATTGTTTGGCTTACAGTACTCAGTACTGCAAAATACTAATAGCCTGAGCCTGAAGGACCTAGCGCTACAAATTACTACTTCTGGCTAGGTTACTTCCATTGTTACTTGTACAGAGAACAATAAAGCCATGCATTCATAGTGCCAGAGCACTGTATGGTACATTGTCTTTTCTATTGTATTTTATGGCTTCAGAGAACAATACGGTCATGTCCTCTTACAAGCGGCAGCACTCGGTACTACATTTTACTACAAGTAGTAACTTGTGGTATTATGTAGGGTTAGAGATAATGAGAGTTGACTGTACTCCAATCCAGAAAATGATTCACAGTAATTTACAATATTATAATAAAGAAGGAAAGAAAACACTTAAGCATCCTCAATTTAATGGTACAAAGATTAACATCTAACCGAAAAGCGATTCCATAAAAAAATGCCTTTCTTGAACTGCAAAACAAACACACCTGGATTCACTTTCTTTGCATGGCAAGCAAAGATGTGTGAGCGTTTGGGTGTATAGCCCATCCACTTCACAACAGGGTGCAGTTCACATGTTCAATCTTTTTTTCCAACAGGGTAGGCATGTCAGTAACACCCATGATGGACTGTTCTTCCTAGGGGCACTGGGGAAGAAGTCAATGTACATGTGGTCTGAATGCTCAGTTCTAGTTAAAAATTATCTTCATGTACATGGAAGCCTCGGTAGGATTCGAACCCGTTCAAAGAGGTGAAAGGCAAAGAACAATAATGCTATTTCATTTCTTCAGCACAAGTTCCATACAATAATTATGTTCACTGCTTAAAAAAGACATGTATATGAGTACCAAACTACACCATGGTCAAGCCGATTAGCAAAGGGCATGCATTATGAAGGTGCCTCAGGCAACCACCTAACAACCCCTATGCCAACAGGGCACAGCCACCCTAGGAGATTGACAATGCTGACTTTTTTTGTGGAGTGCGGAAACTGGAAGACCTAGAGAACCACTAGAGAATTGAACCCCCTACCACAGAGGTGTAAACTTCAGCCTAGACTTAATTAAATCAAGTCGGACTTATGTTGCTTTACCCCAGTCAGCCATCCCTTCAGTCTGCACACACTTCACAGTCATTGCGCTCGGCCTGGCAGCTCGCAAAACCCTTATAAGGGGCCTCCATTTGACAACCTTTATTGTACAATGTGTGTCATACATCAACAGTAAGTAAGTCCAACTTGACGGATAAGCCAATCGGACCCCCCCCATCGGTAATGCGTAGTTATTCATGATTGCCTACAAATGACATGATCTTGTGTAATGTACATGTATACGGAATTATTACCAATCAAAGTAGTCAGACTTGTAGACTCGTCATTATAATGCAGGTATGAACAACGTAAAAACAAGTCCGGCAACATGATTGGCTGCTCACACATTGGCTGTTTATAGTAATAGGTGGACACAAGAAGGTGCGAAGCAAGTAACGGCACGCAGTCCCGCACTTGGTATGTATCCAAAACATTTATAAACAAAAACGTCACAGAGATCCTGACTTGAGTCAAGTCTAACTTCAGCCCCACTTTGGTAACTTGACTCCCCCTGCATGCTACCAAGTAGAGAGGCCTCTCAGGCTTAAACATACCATGTAGTTCTGCTCCATCTTGTGCGCCTCTATCTCGTTGTCTGCTGTGACATCTAAGAAGACAAACTCTTCCTCGGATGGTTCTGCGGGCTTCGTTCGCTTCCTGTGTCGCACGCCCCCCGCCCCCTCGCTTGACTCCGAGTAGGCACCCAAGGAGGCCAGCATCTTTTCTTTGTCTTTGAGCTGATCGACAACCATGTGGAACTGGGATGTACACAGAGCACTCCCATCTGGAAGGAAAATAATATTAAACCTGGTATCGAGATGAAATTACCTTCAAATAACTTCAACAATTCAAATAATTGTTGAAGTTGACCAACAAAATCATTGTCATAAAATGTCAGTTGTGTTGGTTTGAAGAATGAACTTATCTCAATGCTACTCTTTCACAAACTACCTCAGCGACACTCATAAAGGTCTGGCATTGAAAAACTACATGTGTTAATGAATTTCAAACTGTGAGCAAATACATACGTGAATTTTCCAGAGATCTCTAACTCCCTGTATTGACTTCTCACAGTGATTCACTAAAAGGATGCCAGCAAATTTTGGTAAAGTTTTCCGTAAAAATCTGTGGAACTCGCCTATTAAAACAACTGAATTGGATCTGTTTCATGACCTAGAATCCACCATACACAGGCCACAAATTTACCCAAACCACAGGCATGACAGGCGTCAGGCACACGGCAGCATGATCCATGATGAAACAAGCTCACCCTCTTTAATTCTTATTAGAGAGAGTCTCACCTTCATTTGTTTGAAGTGGAAGTTCTGCGTCTGGCGAAGACGTGTTCGTCTTCTCTGTGGCTTCCAAGTCAGTCATTTTACAGCTGTCTAGCCAAAACTCTTGGACAGTTACGAGACGGTCATACTAATTAGGGTTAGACGAGAGATCCCAAAGAAGCTCGTGTGCTATACTTGATAGCCACGTATCGTTCCGGTGAAACACTGCCCGAAGTGCAAGCTAAACCAGTAAACGGTTATGCTTATCACATGTATCACGTGCCTCACCTGACGAGCTGAGTGAAGGCTGCCCACGAAATATTATTAGGCCGTCTGTGTGTTCACTCGGCCGTCTGACGTGTTTTGAAAGAATACCATGTTATTTACGGACTGCAGGTGTAACGGGGAAAAATGGCACACTTCAGATAAGAATAAAAAAATAAAGAAGAGACTTGAAGAAAATAAACACTTGGGAAACTCGCTAAAAAAATCTCAAAAGGCTCAAAAGGGAGGAGTCGCAAGAAGTCTAAAAGAATAGGGATACGGAAGCTGAAACTTGATTCCAACAACAAAATCTTTTATTTCTTCTAAAAAATGCCCCCCCCAAAAAAAAGGAAAGTAACTGGAGAACTAAAAAAACAAGACTGGGTCGAAAATCAGATTTTAAAATATTCACCTAAAGACTTGAAAATCTAGTCAAGAGAATTGCAGAAACCAAACCTAAAAAGTAGGAAAAATATGGCCAAGACAAAAATTAATTTTAGAAATTAGACCAATCCTAGACCAAAGTAAACCCACCACAGAATCAAGGTAAGGCTTAACCAATCTGAAACAAGACCAACCCAAACTAAAAGAAAAAACCAAGAACCAACAAAACCAACACCGCACCTAAGAAAAGTTAAAGATCAATTCAACTCAAGCGTTAACTACCAAGTCCACCGCAGGTCTGAGCTTTCAGGTCAGAACTTGACTGGTATTTAATAGGTGTGTTACTTCACCGACTGCCAACCTGCTTACTGAGACTTGGGCTCAGAGCATGCCCACAGTGCCTGTCCAGTTGCATGAGTCATCATCAAGTAAACAATTACTACTATTGTCGTCACCTAGTCCCTGTACCTCGCGGGCAACCTGATGATTCGTCTGGGCCGATGATGTGTCTCTACCGTCTCAATGCTGCCATCATCACTGTGCTCATCACCATCAGTATCGGAAGAAGGTCCAGACTCTGGGTCCGTTGAAGAGTGACCAGAACTGACGAGTGGAGACTTTGTTCGCGGAATGAGAAGATCTGCTGGCACCTCAACATCTGAGTCNCCTCACTAAATCCATTGCTGTCCTCAGCAATAGGCAACAGGGAATAATCGCATTAACAAAAATACAAAATCGTGGATGCTATTTACAACTACTATTGTCGTCACCTAGTCCCTGTATCTCGCGGGCAACCTGATGATTCGTCTGGGCCGATGATGTGTCTCTACCGTCTCAATGCTGCCATCATCACTGGGCTCATCACCATCAGTATCGGAAGGAGGTCCGGACTCTGTGTCCGTTGAAGAGTGACTAGAACTGACTAGTGGAGACTTTGTTCGCGGAACAAGAAGATCTGCTGGCACTTCAGCATCTGAGTCGGTCTCGTTGCTCTCCTCTGACGCATAGAATGGACAGATGGTCAGTAAGTTGCGATGGATGGTTCTGGTTCTCGTGCAGCCCAGATCCCGAATGATGTAGACTGGAAGGTTCTGTAGCTTCCTGACTACTACATGTGGCGTCGACTCCCACCGGTCCTTCAGCTTACATCTGCCTCTAGGAGTTTTGTTTGCAACCAGCACGCGATCACCAGCCTTAAGTTCTTGATTGTGCACCTTCAGGTCATATGCTGCCTTCTGCTTTTCGCTTGCCTTTGTAGCCATCTCGTTCACGGTATTATATGCCACACGTAGGTGTTCTTCCAACCGCCGGACGTATGAATGCTGGTCCCCGACATCAGGAGCGGACTCTGGTGTTAGTTGTGGTACTAAGATATCAACTGGCAGCTTGGGCTGACGCAAGAACATCAGGTAATAGGGTGAGTAGCCAGTAGACTCGTGCCGGGTGCTGTTATATGCATGTGTAAGTGTCTCCACATGCTCTGCCCAGTTGACCTTCTCCGTGGCTTCCAGCGTCCCAAGCATTGACAGCAGCGTACGGTTAAACCGCTCTGTCATGCCGTTACCCTGTGGGTGATACGGTGTCGTCCTACTCTTGGAAACACCTAGAAGCTGACACAACTCCGTCACCACCGCTGATTCAAAGCATCTGCCCTGGTCCGAATGCAGGCGCTCTGGTATCCCGTAGTGTACAATATACTTCTGCCACAACACCCTGGCTACGGTGGTCGCCTTCTGGTCTCTGGTAGGGAACGCCTGCGCATATCGAGTAAAATGGTCAGTGACCACGAGGATGTTTTCTATCCCACCCTTTGACTGCTCCAGGCTCAGGAAGTCTATACAGACCAATTGCAGTGGGCGAGATGTCTTGATGGCCTGCAGTTCAGCTCTTCTAGATTCCGGGGTCTTCCGTAGCGCGCATCTCTTGCACTTCTTAATGTAGGACCTGGTTTGCGAGTAGAGTCCAGGCCAGTAGTACCGGTCACGAACTAGGTGGAGTACTTTGTCAAGCCCAAGGTGACCCATAGCGTCGTGCAGA